CTCTGCTATTCCTGTTTCATCACTGGTGATCCCAGCACTTTATGCCCTCTTGGAGAACTGGTGAATCGCGTTGGAGCGGAGCTGACCTAGGTGTGCTAGGCTTCTGTCTTTAAAAGAACAGAGATGTCCAAGACAGGTACTACCATACAGTGTTGTTTTCTTCATTAGAGAGCAGAAATGTGATGTTGTGTGCACTGAATAGGATTTGTTTTATTGCTTATATTTGGTAAAAAGCCCAAACACTTTTAACATGGTAAATGACCTTAGAGTTTTATATCTTCTCAATAGGCAGTGACCAGCTATGGAATATACTGTATTGACCATGAACTCTGTCAGCTTTTCCTCTTGATCTGCACAGAACCTTATGGATGACAAATAAAGTTTTTCCTTGTTGCAAGAGGGTGGGGGAATTAAAAAAAAAAAAAAAAAAGCCAGTGAATAACTGACCAGGCTGCCATAAATACAGCTTGCTTGGCATGCCTGTTCCCAACATGAACTGATTTGCGGCCTGGATTCAAAAATACTGTTCTTTGCTTCTCACTCTGTGGATTCAGCTATTTATATCAGGCTAATTTTCAGCTGAAGGAATCGAAGAGCTATTATTCTCCCCAAAGGTTATCTCATTTGTTTAAAAACTGGTGGCAAACCATTGACTGCTGTGTTTGTTTCAAAGAGAACAGTGGTGGGGGAGGAGGATTATATCTGGAAAACTCCCACATGAAAACTCCCAGTGTCCTTTCCTGAAATAACAAATAGTTTCATGAGTGGTAAAATGAATTTCACATGATTTCCAGCAACTCTCTCCTCAGCTGTTGCAGGGGATTAGCTCATCAGGTCACACACTCCATGGGATTTAAGAGGGTACATTTCTTGTCATAAAATATGTCAGAATATGGTATCTTTTCAGCCTCTACTGCTGTATCACAGTTGTTGAGGTTGCCCAACCACTTCTACAAGGCAAGAAAGAAACAAACTGTGAACAGGTCAACACTTTAGAAAATGAGACTAAAATTCCAGAAACCTTAGAAAAGTGGAATTAAATATTCCATATTATTGGTTAGGTTCTTAAACAAAGTAATTCTCTGAATTCTTCTTTCTGAAGGAATTAACGCTTACGGACTCTTCTAACTCAATGGATGTCGAAGAACAAATGCCAGATTAGCTATTAGCAAGAACTAATTGACTTTTGGAGTGGTTATTTTTTTTAGTTTAGAAGTTTGTTGTTTGTCAAATGATGATAATAAAGGTGAACTTCTTTCTGTAGCAGGTATGTCTTGACTGAGAGTAGCTTTTAACAAGAATGTGTCAGTACATTGCTAGAGCTTGCAAGGCAACACGCGTCCAGATCAAATGCGAGATGAAATTTATGTCTCTGAATCTTGCTGCTCGTGCAGCATGGCATTAGGAGAACATGCCTTAGCTGAGAAGGAGAAACATTGGATGGGCAGAGCACCCACAGTGAGGAAAGTCTTGAGACAAGCACAGTTTTATGCATATTGAGCTGAATCTCCCACTTTAACACCCAACTGCTCTCCATGCAGAGGGGCAAAGGCAAGCACTTCTGAAAATGCAGCTTCTTTGAGCACTGAAATAGGAGCTCCTGTAACTTGGACAGCTGGACTATCATGTATGCCATTATGTTTAGAATTAGTGGTTAGGAAAGAATTAAGAGGAAAAGGAAAGAGAGATTAGTGCAGATAAATAAAATATAGAGCAAACTGCTTCCCAGTTGGTTCAGACTCTGCAGGGAATTGCCTCCCTGTGAACGATGTCTCCCAGCTTCCTTTCCACTCGTCTTTTTTGTTAGATAGTTTACCTCCCCCAGTGCAAGGATGTCTTTGTAGCTCGTGACATCTAGAATATCTTCGTTATGTGTATTGCTTAAATGGCCTTTTTGCCTTATGAGTTAACACCTACTTTTATTTATTGTGAAATGATCTTATATGCTTTTTAGTAAATGTGACAGGCCATGTATTACCACTGTCGTCTTTTATTTACTCCCATAAATCGTTATGGAATACAGTTAGGATGTGACACTCAGGACACTGGATAATACTGCATTGTGTTGCATTGCGGCGGGGGACAGCTCAGTGCCTTGAAAAAGTCTCTGCCTTTTCCTTTGCCTACATCTTTTCTCAAGTGTTTTTTTTCCCTGACTTTCCCCATGGCTGGAATCTGATTTCCATGAGTTCCCCCAGTGTATCTGAGGAGGACAATGCTTGTCTGCTTAGAAAGGTCAATTTAGTCTCACAACTTAGTTGCTGCAAGAAGAACAGGAGTTGCTCACAAGTCCTTAAGCGCTTTCCCAGATGCTTGATGATTCATGAGGGGCCAGCCTCCAGAGACTGCGTTTGGGTTGGCCGTGTTCCTGTGTCTATGTAAACCGGTTAACTCTGCAAAATCCCCCTGAAAATACCCTTAGAAAAAACATGGATTTAAGTTCTACTCCTGGCCACACTACTTCAGGTTGTAATTTAGCAGGTGGGGGGGGAGGGACGAGTGAATCAAGCTGTTTCAGAGTCTGCTCCACTGTGATGTGAAGACTCTGAGTTGCTTTGCATTTCATCCCATGTGAGTTTTAGAAACACTATTTATGTCCATTCTTATCAAACATACTGTCTTCCTGTGTGGAAAAGGCATGTATTCATACTGTAGTATTTTTATATCCTCTGTTCTACTATGCTGACCATTGTCTTCCATGTGCTTCGCTCCAGCCTTTCCTCTGTAATGACTTTATAATTGCTGCATTTATCATGACAGAAATAGCAAGACTCTGTGCTTTGATTTTTAAGCTTTTTAACATGTGCAGCTTTATTTCTTCATTTACCTGTTCAACTTGGATGGTTCAGAGCTGTGCCAGCCCGTACATTTCAGCACTGATCTTTTGCCAGCTGTGATTGACTTGCTGGCAGAGCATCCCAGTCTGTGGGATCCAGAGTTTAAGTGAAAAGCCGTGACAGAGCCTGTCTTCTTGGGGTTTAAGAACCCTGGTAACGTACTTTCTCAGCTGGTGTGCTGAGTAAAGTACACAGATTTTTTGTTTGGGAGTGTACATGTGAGCACATTTTAAAGATAGTGCCCCTGGCACTCTAATCTCAGCAGCTGACAGCTCCAGAGTAAAGCCTGTGCTAGGATTGACTGGAAAGAGGGAACCTTTCTCTCAGAAGCATGAACCACACTGAACACACAGTGAAATATGTGCTGATACGAGGAAAAGCGGCACGGGCTTGTTGTACAAAAAAGAAGAGCAAAATACTCTCAGGTATAGGATGAGCTCTGCCGTATTTTACAGCAGTAACTTTTGTTCTGACTTAAGCAATGGTTGCATCACTCAAAAGCACAGGATTTGCTTTCACCAAAATTGTTTTATTTTTATCTCTTTTCTTGGACATTTTGGACACAGTCCTGTGAAATATCTTGTTCTCTTGAGTGTACTGGGTGTTTTCAGAGTCCAAAGGTCCTCAGCATTTCAGTAGGAGCTCAGTTGTGTTGGCTGGACATTTTGTTTCATTCCAGAGTAGGGGGAAAAAAACAGAGTTGTCTTTATTTTATTTTTTCCAGATATTCTTTTTTAATAATTAGAATAAAATAAAATAGAAAACAGACTTAAGTGTAGATGTTCCTGATGAAATTTGCAGCAAAAGTGGTAGGTGGTTGGTCTTTACTTTCACTGAATTATTTCTTTTCCAATGCAAATTGTTTGTTCAAAACAAAACAAGACAAAACAAAACTGGCTAGTTCTGTACTTTGTAAGCTATGGAGTCAGGGCTGTATTTGCTTGAAAAGGATGGCTGAGGATGTGAGAAAATTTCATTTTGAACAAAAGTATCTTAGAGAAATGTCGTAAATAGATCTTTGGAGATGTTTTTTACAGAAAATCCAGAGTCTTCTGAGTTTCAGGTTGTTTTGAAGCAAGAATTATTACCCTGTTAGAAGGGTACAATGAACTGTTGACATACAACCATGCTTTGCTTACAGGCACATGCAGGGAGGTATTTACAGCCAGGAAACACTGAAAAAATACAAAATCCAAGTGCATTTGCCATAAAGTTTGTAGTGTTTTCCTAGGTTCCTGTTTTCTGTGAGTGTTTATGAAAGAAGTATATTTCTTTTATATGTAAAGCTTATAATTTTCAGTCAAACATTAGATTTCATTTTAAGAGAAAAAACTTTGATTACTGTGTGTGACAGATGGCTGTGGCTGGTTGCTTACTTTAGTTTGATATTTTCAATGTTCACAGAGTGTCTTGGTGGGATAAATTTTCCCACTATGTGCTATTTCTCAATAGCCAAATTCAGGAGAAGACACCACTTTTGTATTTCTGATGCTTGTTGGGGGACTGAAGGTTGACCTGACATTCAGTGTAGTTCTGGGGGTGATGCTCAATTAAACTGCAGTTTAGTTGTTTACAAACATCCATGTTCATGTAGTAAGCAAAAATTTGGTCGGTGCGGTTGGATGAATGACTCAGGATGTGACTGGGTACAGGCTACACTGAGAACAGACTCAGCTTGCCCACACATAGGTGGCTCCATGAGGCAGCGTAGCTTTCATAGGACTTCTACTGGGGCTTCTGGATGTGCTGCTGAACTTCCCTGTCTTGGTAGAAGCTGTACAATGTCTTAAATGATGTTAGGAATCTTTCTGTGAGCTCTTATTCTTGTTCTCAAACTTGTAGCTTTGATCAAAGTTTAAATTCAATTTAAAACCCAAATAGTGAGAATAAAGTTATGTAATCAATATCAGTGTAAGAGTAATGATATATTTATCATAAAATAAAGTTTATATATAGTTGAGCATTGTTGTTCGTCTTGTTTATAGGGGGGTGAATTAAGAGAATATACACTGTACTTCCTATTTAATAAAAACTGCTCCTAGACCTAACTTTTTATAGACTTTAAATGCAAATAATTTGTGCTGTGTTATAAACTGTTGTGTTTTTTTGCCTTCCTGTAACTGGAACAACATACTAATTTCTACAAGTTGTGACTACTAACAGAGAGCAATCACCTCACAGACTTGTACCGAAAAGAAGAGACCATCAGCGTGGCAGGGAACGGCTGCATCCACAGTCCTCGCTTCCCCAGCAGTTACCCCAGGAACCTCCTGCTGACGTGGCGGCTCCACTCGCCGGAGAGCACTAGGATCCAGCTGGCTTTTGATAATCAGTTTGGACTGGAGGAGCCTGAAAATGATATCTGCAGGTGAGTCAGGTGTGGAAGGTTGCAAAGGGCTCCTTAATACCACCTTCAAGCTCAAGGATGTGGCTACTGGCATGAGATTGCAAACTAAAACCTGAGTATCTCTGGCTGAGTCTAGCATGGCCCTGCTTGAAGGACAAACCTCCAAGGGTCTCTTCCAATGCAAATTGGTCTTTGAGTTTAGAAATAAACTGATCTGTCCTGGGCTTGAAGCAGTTTTGGCAGGTTTTAGTCCTTCTATACTATCTTAAGCACAAGGCACTTACACTCTCAAATCCAGCTACCTAACAACACAGGTACTACTTTAATAGGATTTTGTCCTCTGTCATCCCTGTCATGTTTCAGCCAGGAAAAAGCATCTTTTTCAGTTGGTGGAAGGCTTTGGGAGGTTTGAGTGAGTAGGTAGGTATTTATATTGGGGTCTGAGAGACAGACAAAAATACACCGAAAAATACAACTGTGTTCTTCAAACTGTCTTTATTGTTACTCTTTACTGGCATGGATTGTTTTAAAACCTTCAAATATAGGTCTGCAAGCATCAGTGTACTCTGCATAATGATACATCTAATAAAATGTACTTTACTATATCTGGTTGCTTGCTTTCCCCTTTTAAGCAAAAGTGACCATAAGCTCAGTTGATCTGGCTGATTAAGAGGTAGATAAAGTTCTTTGCATTAACAGAACACAGGGGTGAATCTTGCCAACATTCACTAAAACTGTATAAATCCATGGAGTTCTTTGTTTATATTTCTTTTATTCAGCTATCTGTTCTGCAGGAGAGAGCAGGCTTAGGATGCCTCTGCTCCCTGAAAGGCACACTGCTCTGATGCTACTTACATCAAATGCTCCTCTCAGCTTCCAGCTCTCTGCCTGGTTGTGTTGTTACTTACGCCTTATCTGTGCAGAGAACTGGGTGGTTAGGATTTATGCACACACGGCCTCTGCTTATCTCATCTTCTTTGTCAATTAATTCGCGTTTATAGGGTTTGGCAACTCTGCCAGGCTTTACAGGGTGGATTGTTTTTTTTCTTGCTTTGCTTTGTTAATTGCCTACGTTACCAATAGAGAGAACCCTTTCTGCAGGTTTGCTTTCCATTTAGTAATAAAAGAATGTAGCCTGAAACTGACTCTCCTTCCCTGCGCCTTGATGGTCTTGGCAGCTGCTGCTCTGCTCTGTTGGTCCAAGATCAGCAGCAGAGTCAGTCACGATGCTTCCCTCCTATCACCGCAAATGCTTTCCCAGATTGAGAGCCTAACACGTACAGAAGTGGCCTGTTAATATTTACGTAGCGGATAAACTGTGGCTGACCTTAAAGCATTGCAACTTTGAAACCCAAGGCTAATTTACTGGGGAAAGAAAGATGAAGTATTCTCTGTCAAGAGCCATTAAAGGTGGTGGCACAGTGAGGAGAATTCAAGCTACTACTGGCATTACGAGTTTGGGGACCATCTTGGAAGACAGTGCACCTGCTTTTTCCAGAGCAGCTAATTTAGGATGCAGAGGGAAGCAGAGACCTTCCATCATCCATAGTGTCTGTAGAAGCTGGAGAAATATCACATTCTTTTCTGCAGTAAGGCTTTCCCTGCCATTCCTGGAAGACCTTTATTTGCATAGTATTTCTTCCAGAGTGAGGAATTTTGGGGGGAGACAGCTCATGATGGCTTTAAGCCTGTTAAATACTGTGTGCATAGTTAGATTTTTTTGCTAATGCTCAATATGTTTTTTCAAAACTAGATCCTATCTGCAAGTTTGGTCCCTGACAATCTTTGCAGTGCTGCTGTAGAGAGACAGCCAGGCGTGAATTAGTTGAAATGAATGCTGAGAGCTGAGTTGAAATGAATGCTGAGAGCTGAGTTGAAATGAATGCTGAGAGCTGAGTTGAAATGAATGCTGAGAGCTGAGCATGTGCTTGAATGCTGTGCATATTGGACAAGTAATTCAGGACCTCTGCACCTTACCTTCCTTTTGTACTTGCTTTTGACCTTAGGCTTTTTTTCCCAGAAACATCCTAGTGTTTTCATTCAATTTTTCATTAGTGCTAATTATTGTAATTTGTGTACTATTAAGACTGAACTGATTGAAATTCATTCAGGCTGAGGAATGAAAAGGTATACTTCAGCAGACCTGTTTCAGAAGCAGGGGGAATATCCAAGGTTTTACAGAAATTTCTAGAAGTGCTGTTAGCATTTCCACAGGCACTTGATCAGAGATGATTCTGAAAAGCAATTAAATTACCCAACCTCTGAGGCTCCTTGGATCACAGAAAGAACTGAGATTGCACCTAGTTCCATGATCATTGCAGAAAAGCCTCTGCTGTTGAAAGCAGAAATAATCCCTGAAAGCCTATGGATTTGCCCCATTTTTGCTAGCAGCCTGTCTGACTCCTGCCCCCCAAAAGTGGGGAGGGCAATCAGGACAATTTTCACCGAAGGCTGCCAGGTTATCTTGTGCTGAAAACTCTGCAACCCCTCATGTTACCATAAGCCTGGGGGCAGTGGTGGATGCTGGAGCCGAGGTGGAGCCCTGCCCAGGTACCACCACATCCATCACAGAATCACAGAATCACAAAACGTCAGGGGTTGGAAGGGACCTCTGAAGATCATCTAGTCCAACGCTCATCCCAGCATACCTAACCACTACACCATAGCCTCAAGTGCTAGATCTACTTTTTTTTTAAACACCTCCAGGGTTGGTGACTCCATCACCTCCCTGGGCAGCCTGTTCCAGTGCCTCACCACTCGTTCAGTAAAGAACTTCCTCCGAATATCCAATCTAAACTTACCCTGACGCACCTTGAGGCCATTTCCCCTTGTCCTGTCATTAGTAATTAGAGAGAAGAGACCAGCACCAGCCTCACTACAGCCTCCTTTTAGGTAGTTGTAGAGGGCAATAAGGTCTCCTCTCAGCCTCCTCTTCTCCAGACTAAACAAACCCAGCTCCCTCAGCCGCTCTTCATAGGGCATGTTTTCTAGACCTCTCACAAGCCTTGTTGCCCTTCTCTGCACCCGCTCCAGCACCTCGATGTCCTTCTTGTACTGTGGTGACCAAAACTGGACACAGTACTCGAGGTGAGGTCTCACGAGTGCCGAGTACAGGGGCATGATCACCTCCCTCCTCCTGCTGGTCACACCATTTTTGATACAGGCCAGGATGCCGTTGGCCTTCTTGGCCACCTGGGCACACTGCTGGCTCATGTTCAGACGGTTGTCCACCGTGAGGGAGAGGGAGCAGAGGGTGGTCGAAAAAGTGTAAAACAAGATCACCTCTGTCTGAAACTAAACTTTGTCACGTTACAAAAAAATGCATGTTTCAGCAGAGTTTGGGCAGATTTAAGTGATTTGGTTATAGCAAATCTGTTATTTTCTGTTCTCTGCAATTTGGGGTTGGTGAATATAAAAGCAGTGATGGTGATACTTTCAGGCCGCATAGTACTTGTGTTTTTGTTGGTTTTTTTTCTTTTCACGTTGGCTCTCAGCAGAAAAAGAAAACCAGGTCTGTTATTTGCAGAGCTGTTCAGCTCCCACGACTGGGCAGGGAGATGGGTGCTTTGCTCCCACAGACCATGGGGTGGGAAGCAGCACATTGCTACTAAGAATTGCTTAACAGTCTTAAACTCCTTCTTTGGAGAGTGTTCATGCTTTGATAATAAAAACCTTTCCTGGCAAAGACCTCCAAAGTTTTGAGGCTTAGCTGTACTGTGAGGATGGCAGGTCTCCCCAGCTCTCATTGCCTGCACTCATCTTGCCCCTCTTGTCATCACCTTTCCCTGGCTGGCTGCGATGTGTGGGCCCTACTTCTGGCTCCACAGATATCAAGGGTCTATTTTTCTCTTAGGCAGAGTGAGATCAGGACTTTATTCTCTGCATTCCTTATTTGTCCAACTCAATAAATGAACTCAATAAATGATCCAAGCGAGTGAATACACAAGCTGCGGCAGGGAGTGCTGTCACTGTGTTCTCTGATCCCTGTGTCTGCTGCTGCTGGCAGAGCTGTCTTTGGGCTCAGGACACCATGGCTGTGACACAGGTGCCTGGCTGAGGTGTGACCATGCATAGAGCAACACATGCTTTTGCTATTCTCCTGGAGACAGCAAGCAGGCGAACGGTGGAGGAGTCCCCGCCACGGCATGCAGAGTGCCAGCCTGCCCTTTTCTGCTTGAAATGAGTCTCCAAACCATCTAGCAAGAGCACTATGCCACCTACAAAGAAGGTCCTAAAAAAGTCCTAAAAATCTCCTTTAAGCAGCATGCACTGCCCTGTGTTCCTCCGGTATTTCCCTTTGATCCGGGCACGGCGAATGCCCAAGAAGCACAACAGGCGGGAGCTGGTGGCTGCTGCTGCTGCAGGGACCACAAGAAAGTGCACAAATGCTTGCAGCTGCTCAGCTTGGGCTGCCTGCCTTAAATAATATTTTATCAGGTCTCTAAATTATTTATCCACCACATGTAATGCAGTGCGTATGCTCACTGTGTACTTAAGCACGTGCAAGTGCCTCTTACTGCTGTTTTAATGTGGTAGAAAATACTGTCTGTCATGTTCCAGGAGGCAAAAAAATCAACCATTTGAGCACTCAGGCAGGAGGTTGTTTTACTGTATTGCTTGTTATTTAGTGTGTTTAGTGCTACACAAGTATGTCCACCATTTGCAATATTTAGTCTGATGTTTTGCAGTGGAGAGTGGGGGGCAGCTGGGCTCCTGTCTATTTGCAGCCATCTTTTGCAACCAGAGATGGCAAAACCTAATTCTTCAAATTGGTTCCCAGATACGACTTTGTGGAAGTGGAAGATGTGTCAGAGACCAGCACAGTTATACGAGGACGGTGGTGTGGACACAAGGAAGTACCTCCAAGAATAACATCAAGAACAAATCAAATAAAGATAACCTTCAAATCCGATGACTACTTTGTGGCTAAACCGGGATTCAAGATTTGTTACTCCCTTGTGGTAAGTCACCTCGCTGTGTCATGGGCGACAGACAGATTGTGGTGGGGAAGAGCATCAGTACTTGAAGACTGGATGGTGTAGCTTACTGCATTGGATCAAAACACTAATTGACTGAAAGTATTTTCAGTCCAGCAACTACATTAATACAGGTCAAAGTATTTTTGACAGCCTGTCATTAAATACAAAGTAAAGTCAAGTCCAGGCCAAGATTTACGCTAATAACATGTTTCGGATGCACTAACACTTTTTACACTGAGGCTGCCCTGCCAGTGCCTTGACAGATGCTGCAGAAATAACAAAGAAATGGCTGCTCTATGAACTTCTTTTCTGTGTTCATTTGAGGTCAGATAAAAATGCCTTGAGGCATTATGGCTGTGATTCTGAGTTTGATGCAGAGCAGTTTATTCTACACACAGTAAAAATATACATGCAAGACAATGTGCTAAGGCTTAAGCTGTATTTTTAACCATGTATAAACACGCCTCTTTGTATATGCAGTGGCATTAGCAGTGTATCATGTACTGATTCAACGGGATGAAAACCACCTTTTTAATTTATTTTGCTTTGTCTTTAGGGAGCAGGAAAAATTGCTCTAAGTAGATTTTGATACAAATATGTATTCTTTTGTATTGTCCTGATTAATATTGTAATGCTTTTGGTGCAGTGTAGCTCGAAAGAGGCAGATTTTGCTAACACTCAGGAAATGGTAAGCATTAATTTATTATACTGTCATCATTATATTTTCATATCCACCACACTTCTTATTCCCTTTTTTATTCAATCCACTGTTATTTAACAAGAAAGCCTGGAATAGCAATAAAATTAATACTGTTACCGGAAAGATGTACTGAGCCATTTCACTTCAGCCTCTCGGCTTTGCATGTCTGTATGCCTAGGTATGCTATAAAAAGTCCATAAACAGCACATTGTCAGGACAACTCTAAAGCTATGAAGATTGTGCTCCCTTAGGTCCAGATTGTTAGGCTTCTAGTGGAGTAGGGCATTGCACTGCAAGTAAATCCTGTGCTCTACTCTGATTTAAAGTAATCTACTAAAACTAAAATTTAGACAGAACAGTCTATTAAAGGCCACTGGGCATAAAAATGAGACAGTGAAGCAGCCTCTCTTTACACTGCTCATATTTCAGTGCAGCCACAAAAACTCTGCTGCATTTAGCATGCTTTATTCCACACCACCTTTAGCTAGTTTGATAGTATTAGGCTTTCCAAAAATGAGTATTATCACTCATAAGACACAGCATTCTCTGCACTAGAAAGCTCAGAAAAGGCTACTGTGTTTAGTTTCAAAACCATGAATAAACAGAGAATGTTACAATCTAGCAAATCTATTCTGAAGAATACTCTCCAAATGCACCCTCTGGATTAAATGCTGTATTATTTCTGAGAAGAGACTTGTACGAGTGATTAGTGGCATTTGCAAGATGCGAGATGATACGTACTTAACTGGTCTTCAGATACTAAACCTTCCAACCTAAAACTGCAAAATTAATATTCCGCAGAGTCAGCCCTTACTGCACAGTCCCCACAGTCGCATAGAGCTCAGTTTATAGATGTGCTGAGCACTGCTGACCCCTGAAGGTTGAACTCATTGTGCGTTTTGAGGCGGCAAACCAGGGAGCATTAATGAAGCATGCAAAAACATATGGTATTTTTTTATCAGATGAAATGAAAGACCTTTACAGTGCTTTTTTTTTATTTCCTTTGTAACCTTCTCCAAGACAAGGCTACTTCTGCAGGCTTTCTTGGAAAAGGGTGCACAAGATACGTGCAAATCTTTAACTCCCCCGGTTTCTGGATATTTGGAGTTTGGATCTGAATGGCAGTTTTTTATTTGTACACCAGACTGTCACTGATGATTTTCCAGAGGAAACCGAAGGAAGCGATTTAGAGAGTTTACTTGTGTTTGTTGATCAGCTGCATCTCCAGAGTGTTGTGCCAATGTGGGCTGGGTGAATTTCTCCTCGTTGCAACCGAACTGCCTCACAGATTTACTCTCTGGCCTTCTGAGTTATGAATCTTCCAGGCAGTCAGTTAAGTTCACTTCATTTGATGCAGATCAATTTTTTACTTAGTTCCGCACTCTGCACGAGGCACAAACAAGGCACTGCAGACCTTAGCAGAAACATACTTCATTTTCTTCATGTACTCATGTTTATACATTAACTTCACATTTCAGTACCATTTAGAGGCACAAAAAGGGATTATTTTTCTAGGGAAGACATAAATTAGACTTGTATCCATGAAAATCATGTTTGCTTTTGTAAAACAAGGCCTGCAAAGTAAGAAGCTCACATAAGAATAAGGGGCTCAGTCACTCAGGACAGTAAAATTAGAATCCAAAGTGACTGGAAAATTAGACTTAAAAAAATACAAGGATGATCTTTAACAGGACAAGGCTGAAAGCCATGCAGATTCGTGGGAATAATTAACTAACTATCCCAGTATAAGATGAGGGAGAGTGGGCAAGGGAACACATGTGTGAAATAAAGCCAGACAATCTAACCGCAGCATTTAGCAACTTCTGCTTGCCAAAGCTGCCTTCCTCCACCTTCTTCCTCCTCCTCTACCTGTGTCCTCTGTCTCTTGGCTTTTCTGCCTCTGTCTTCCCCTATGTGCGTCTGAGGGACTAGCAAGGTTGGAGGGGGAGCGGTGTTGGTCGTTTTGGAAGGAAAGGGCAGATCAAAGATGCTCTGCCCTGCCCCACTCCTTCCCCATGAATCCATAGTACTCCCTGGCGTGGGAGTTCCAAGGTGGACCTGACTCCAGGGGCTTATTAGTAAGTTGAGCATGCCCCACTGCTTATCCCAAGCTGAGTAAGAGTCAAAAGTGTCATAACCTGGCTGAGAAAGGTCACTCCCACCCTGTGCTGTTCCTGATGGTGCAGAAGTAGGTAAGTGCGCACAGCCGGTGGCTGGTGTCTACAGATACTTCACGTTCAAAGCCCCAGCTGTAGCTGAGCAGTTTGTTGGCTCAGCCTGGGTATCCATACAGAGAAATGTCTCCCTTGAACCTCTTTAAAAACTGTCCTTTCCTTCAAGCTTCAGAGACCTAGAGCAAAAAATGGTCTGGTGCAAGCCCTGGACAGCTGTTAGGCATGAGCCTCACTTAGCTGCAAATTTGTTTGAAATTCCTCCCTGGCATTATCAGTGCTTATTTCTCAAACATTTTTTTTTCTTTTCTTGATTGAGTTGCCTTAGAAACATCAGTCTGCAGTATAGAAGGTACTGAGATGTTCCAGTCTTTTTCTCCTCACCCCTTATATAATTTCTTACTCTAAGAACATAATGTTTCACGAGAAACACTGTAAAAATATGTGATACACGGGGAAGATAATTTATCTTAGGTTGCTTACACAGCTGATAGAGGGGAGGTAGTCACTGTCATGAGAAAGGTCCCTGGGTTGCATACCTTGAAGTAAGTGATTTGAATATTGCATGTTGCCACAAATGTAAAATTTCATTCCACTGCTGCTCACAGTGCAGCTACCTTGACTGAGGGATCTTGCCTGTAGCAAGTAAGTATTCAATAATTACTAAAAATACGCATCAAATATTTTGAGATGTAGGAATGGAAATTAAGTTACACTTTTACACATGCAAATAATCTTTGCTTGACTGAAATAATTTTACATAATCCTGTTTTTCCTTCTGAAATGAAATTGTTCCAGTGTCCTAAATCTGGAATGGAATGTTAACTAAATTGGACGCCATGTTTTACAAGTACATTAACATGGACATTTACTGAAATAATCTAGGAACTCGTACATGTTCTGACAATAAAGGTGAATGTTTTGAATTAAAATTCTCAACCCTGCATCTAATTTCATTTTAATGAGAGAACTAGAAAATGTTGAATTCTATTTGCTAATTGAAAACATCATTTGCAGTTTATTGTAAAAGGCACATATTTGTTATATAACAGTAAATTGTTATTGCCTTACTAATTGTTTTGTTAGTCCCAAATGAAATCTATATTTTGGAACTTTGACTAAAATTATTATTGGAAACAAAAGCTACAAAAAACGTAGGAACATCTGTGTATGCAAATGTATATGTGCAAACATGCATATATACAATGATGTAAGGTTAATAAATATATATATATTTTTATATACATCTTTTCATGTATATACATATATATGTGCCATTACCTTTCTTTTCTTTACAATATAAATAACCACTAGGACACATCACATAACTTTATGAGAAGTCTTTACTTATTTGGGAATTGTTATCTAACAGCAGTAGACATGTGGTGCTAAATAGGAGAACATAAGTGCATTTATCCCAGGATGAACTTAGGTGTCAAAATGTGTATCAGTTTGTTAGATCATGAGTAATTTTTGCTTGTTTAAAAATGACAATTTTTGAATGAAGTAGCCATAAAGAAATTAATGGGATGGAGGAGAGGAACCTTGGGTCTTGATCCATCATGCGGAGTTTACAGATAAGTAGCTGTCTGCTAAACACCTAGGTTGGAGTTCACCACTTGTGTGATCATCTTTTTAGAGCATTGGTCACAAAGTGGGGTGAGACACCACAGTCAGGCTAACAAAATTTAATTACTTGCCCATGCAAAAAATATTGACCAGTCAAAGTTAGTTCAGATACTAAAATTGAAGTCTTTGTTTGCCTATTAAGCTCACAAGAAAACACCAGAAATTCAAAGTATAATCAGAGGATGAAAATGGACATAATAAGTACCTGATTCTGATGCTTCTGCTCACAGACGGTCACTCTGAGTTAAGTGACTCGCTCCCTGTTTTCTAACAGATTTGTTTGCACAAGTAGTGCAGCACCAAGATGCAGGGGTTGTTTGCTTTTTTTTTCATAAGTCAATAAATAAACTCCCTTGTAAGAGTTAACGTGATTGCAAAAAGGTTCAGCCACCAGTGTGAATACAGATTGATAAGGACTGTAAAGGATGATTAATTCTTTATCACCAGCCTGGAAGCTGCACGAGTCTTTGCTGCTGTGCTTCTGATTTAGCTTGTCACTTCTTTCACAGAATAGACATTTCATTTCTGTCTCCAAGACAAAATATACTGCCTGAAAACCTGTGTAATATAATCTCATGTGACAACAGGCGTGATAATGGTGCATGAATACCTTCCCTGTTTTTAGATAATCCACAGAAGGAATCCCAGTAAATTGCTGGGGGTACAAAAGGAGAGGAATGGGGTGGGGGAGGAATGTCTTGGTTAATAAAGTGGTTAAACATGAAATAGATCTCCTGATGAGGGAATAACAATTTACATGCGGAAGCTTTATCAGTTTTCCTTCTGCTACTCTCTCAGATTTCAGTTTTGATTGCATGTCTTAAGCTAGACAGCAAAGATTTTTTTTATAAACGTGCAAAACTCATAACAGTCTATATAATGAAACTTCTATTTTCTAAAGTTCTGGCAGAAAGCTATTTTCTGTGGTTTTGCTCAAGGCATACCATCCTCATAAAATTATCAGCCTGAGGCTCATCTTTCGGGAGGGAAGTAATTAAGTCCTTTTTAATTAGATAAAACTTGCTCAAAATCTTTAACATTCCTTCCCCAGCTTTACATAGACAGAGAATTTAAGAGATTATCTAGTCACAATTTTATTTTATTTTTACTTTGGAAGGTGTTATAATGTTTTAAAAGGCATCATAAAGCGACAACATGTTAAAAAGAGAGACTGTGTCTCAGTACATC